GGATGTCTAACTAGTTAACACTGGGGGACAAGTCACGGTATAGTCTTTCTTCAGAACCTACAAATTTACTGCGTGCCATGTAAATACTTCAGAAATGGAGATCTACAAATTGCCACCCATAATGCAAATCTGTCCCACCATCCGCATTTGTTAACAAAGCTTTAGGGCATGTTAATCCACTTACGTTTTGTCTTTCACTACAAACATCAGAGTTACAAAGTTGTGCCATAGACTGTGATAACCATAGCTTAACTGTTTACTCTCTAGCTATTGGTGGAAATTGTTTGTCAACTTCTGCTTTAGACTAAGCATTTCTTTTTCTGTAATCTTTGTTTGAACCCCAACCCTGCAAACATACTGAACATAGTCCGTACCTATTTTCCAGAAAACTAAGTGCTTCAAACTTTCACATGATTTAAGGAAATTAAAAAAAAAAAGACTGTTTAGGAATTTCAAAATACATCTCAAAATCTTTTAGATAGATATAGGGCAATATTATCTGTTCTTATTTTTTTTTAAAGGGGAGAGGGAGGAACAAGGATTCTGAACTGCTGAAACTGTTACAATAAGCAAATGTATGTCACTTTGAGGATGATGAAGTGACTCCTATAAAGGATTCATTATTTTAATGTTTTTATCAGAGTTGATGTTTGAATATACTGGGAGGATTTTTAATGAAATGCATTCATTTCTAATCAATGCCTATCAAAATGTTTTCCCACATTTATCCTATACAGCCATCTCTTAGAAAGCAAATAACCAAAAAGACAATGTTTTCTAAAAACTGAATGTATAATACAAGGCTTGTAATACTACCATGAGAGAAGGAATGTCTTATTAAATATGACATGTATGTTTACATGAAAGCCTGTGTAAACAGATGGTAGGAATGGTGTTGCTCACTTGGAATCACCTACAGCACCAGTCCATCTTAATCATACATGACAGGGCTTTCTCTAACTTTTAACACTGTTGTGTCTGGTGGTAGCCAGCTCTTATAAGCAACTGACAACTCCTGGATGGATTATTTGTCCACTGTAATAATGACCAGATGACTTAATCATTTGCTGGTAAGGACTATAATTTTATTTAAACTGTGTAATAAGAATTGTTGATGTTTGTAATACACACATAAATAATATGCTCTGAAAGATTCATGCTAAGTAATTAAAATCAGCTTCAAAGCCAGACCATCATGGATTCAAAGTTGGCCTCCATCCAATTCCAAATGTGAGCTTGAGCAATTTACATAATATCTGAACCCCTGTTTACTTAGTTATAAATTAACAGTTCTGCTTGCACAGTCATATACTTGGCATTTAATCACTCACTCATGTATTTGACAAGAATTTATTGAATAGCTACCACGTGCCAACCACTTTTGGGGTTGAGTACACAAGGAAAAAGACACACACATGATGTAAACTCTTACTCTCATCAGCTTTCATTTCACTTATTGGGAGAATGAGCATATATGGTACAGAGTGTGGGGTGTGCTTGGTTTATTAAACAATGCCAGGTTAAATTACTGTTAATGAGTGATGATGATTGAAGCCGTGGCTTAGAAGCACCAGTGTTGCATTGTAAAGTTGTTTCCTTTGAATGGCAAAGTTAGAGAATGAATGTTTCATGTGTTGGTTTACTTCCCAAATAATTACAATGGTGGAGGATCGGTCAGGCTGAAGACAGGAGTCTGGAACTCCATCCTGGTTTCCCATATGGAGCAGAGGCTGACATATTCTGCTGCTCTCCCAGGCATGTCAGCAGGGGGCAGGACTGCAATAGAGCAGCTGGGAGTTGAATTGACGCTGACATGGGATACTGGTATTGCTGGCAACAGCTTATCATACTGTGCCACAACACTAGCTCCTGGTGCACGGCTCTTGACATATATGTCCCATTTTAATTAAGTCTCACCATCTGAAGTGAGATTTACAATGCTTGAATCTTTATCATTGTGAGCCATATTTGCTATATAAAGAGTATTGCCCTCATAAATGCTGAAAATGTTTCTTTTAAAAATGGCAACTTTTACTTTATGGGATAGAAAGGAGAGGAGGGAGGAAGGATACAGAAAGTGGATCATACTGTGTTTTAGCAGGAAGCAAGATGTGAAATAGAGGTGCTCAGGCTTGAATGAGGAACTTTGTAGTAGATGATGCCAGTGCGTTCTTACTGCTGTGCCAAATGCCCGGCCCTGAAAATATTTCTCTTCACTTAGAGAACATTTCTTTGAGGAATAGAAAGCCTATGCCTGACTGAAATACATATTTCACCACCAAAGTTACTTATTTATATATTTGTACATTTATCTATCCAGGACTTACTCTCATGGTTTCAACAACTTAAGATCACTCTCAAAATATTGCAAGGAATATTTCAGAAACAAGCACTTTATAAATTTTACATTGCATGCCATTCTTCCCCATTTTCTTGGGACGTGCATCACTCTTTTGCCCACCCTGTGCATGTGACACTCACATTCCATGCCTGCCTGTTGTTCATTTAGTGCTCAGCTCAGCAGATGGGCTGTTTCAGTGCCACAGTGTCTGCACAAGGAGTTCTCTTTGTATGTAGTCATGCTGGTACCTAAGATGCCAAAGAGAAATGACAGAGTGCTTACTCAAAATGAGAATGGGATGTGATAACATGACTAAAGGACAACACACAAACAAAAAGACCCTGTATGCTTATGTCCCACATGTAAGGGGTAAGTATGCATCTTCAGTCTGAAATTGTAATGAAAGCAGACAGACAAAAACCTGCAGTTTTACGTTGACACTTCAGGTTTTAAAAGTACGGCCATAGTGTGTGACAAACTCCTAGTTAAGATGAGAGCAGCGTCAAATTCATGGAAGACATCAACAGAACAGGTGTTCTATGTATTACCATTGTCCTATTTCGTTATTAGAGGTCGTTGATCTTTACTGTGATTAAAACTTAAGCTATATGTTGTCATGTACATTGCAAAAATATAGCTTATGTAATATTTGGTACTATCTATAGTTTTGGGCATATCCTGCGGATTTTGAAGCGTACTTCTCCAAATATTGGAGGACCCACTGAGTGTGCCTTTTGTCTGTATATCCATTTTCCATCCACCCATCCATTTATCCATTCACAAAAATCAGTGTTACAAAAGAAATGCAACTATGAAACCACAGAAGGTGATCCGGTGGATCAGCCCACAATTAATGGAGTTAGCAGTTGCATGGTGCAGCAGAAGACCCTTGTGTAAGGAGTCGGGGGTGTCAGGGAAATGCTTCCAAAAATGTTTTACCATGGATGGCTTTGTGTTTGTATTCCCCTTAACTTTTACAAATAGCTCCCCTCACAAAAGCCATTTTGGAAACTTATCTTTCAAAGTTCATAAAGACGTCAATGATTTTACTTATCTTCACTTACAGAGGGTGATTTTTCATCTAGTCAAGTGTGCATGTGTCTGCCAACAATGCTATACACCAACATACATCATACTCAGTAGCTTCAAGGATTTGGTTTGCCTTCCTGTGTGTATCTGAATACAAAATTCATTTCAATGTGACATTAGTTTTTTACTTCTCATGTTTTTCTTCTAATTAAGTTCCATAAATGTATCCTCATTTGAGCCGTAATAAATTTCCTTCTTGAATTGGTCTTTTGAAAGTCACAAACCAATGTTATGATGAATTGCAAAATGAATTATTCCCCTTCCTCTGTTTATTTTGAGAAACAAGGGGTAGAATTTAAAAATGTCACTCTTTCACTATATACAACGTCATGCTCCTAGTGGCTAAATGAATGTGAGTTGAATGCTTGCAACACTGGCTCTGGAACCTCTTAAAGAAAATTATAATCTCATTTGAGAAACTGATTTGCAGTTCATAATTTGGAAAGTTAGTAATTTTATTAAAAGAGATGAAATGTGTGTGTGTGTGTGTTTTCATGTAAGCCCAGTCTTACCATGGAGGAATGGGTTATAGTCATGATTCCTTTGAGAAATTAATTTTCTGGAGACCATAATGTAGGAGAAAAAAAAACAGGCCATTCATAAAATGGATTAAGGAATAAATGTGTGGTTGCTATATTTAGGTCATTATTTGTTTCATTGTAGAAATGGGTAAATGTCTTTCAGTTTAGGTGGCCAAATTAAAATTGAACAATTTGTTACTAATGTTTAGGCTGACATTTTAATAGGTACTTAACATTGGATATATTTGTTCTTGTTACTTTGTAATAAATGAAGGGAATATGTGAAACCCTATATAAATATGATAAAGTATACCTATAGCTAAAATATTAGACATTAACCTTTCAGAATAGGTTAGGCCCAATATTTAAATAGGAACAATGAGGAGAGTATGATTCAAATAGCAGTGCTTAATGTATTAGTCATTAATTTTACATGCTACTTTCTCATTTCCTTCTTTGCTTTTGTAAAGTGGAAATTGCCTTATGCGTCTTGAATCCATTGCTGTAATCTCTATATTGTGTATTGACTAAGCCAGTTTAAGTGGGGTATTAGCACACAGTTTTCGCTCCTTTGCTTTGTACCGGGAGTTGTTCATGGAGTTAATGTTTCACTTATCGTATTTATTATAAAACTATGATAATGTGGCATGCTTCATTATCTTTTTCTGAATAACTCCTGATTTAAGGCAGACTACAATCTGAAAATAATTCTATGTATTCAGCATGAAAACTGGCCCAAGTGCCCTAACATAAAGATCATTGGCATAATTTGTGCCGTCTAATGTGAAAACTAGAGTTCCTATTCTGAAAACATTAACAGATGTGTACAATCTCTTAAACCAACCACTGAATCGTTCAAATAAAGAATCTGTGACCTGGTGCCATTGTTTTAGATTGATGGCAATCGGATAGCTGTCATCGTTAGAGGTGAAGCTGAAAGTAGCATCTATTTCTTCTAACTTGTAGACCAGCTCTCAGAAAATGGTATCATCAGTGTCATTTCATTGTTCCACATTCTTATGCTCTGACTTCTCTATCTCCTTGTGCAGTATTGCAGTGCACCCCCATGATGACATCTTTGTCACTTGTGGTGAAGATCGCCTCTGGAAGATAGTGGGCATTCCGAAAGGCAATGTGATTCTCACAGGACTGGGCCACATTGATTGGCTTTCTGATTGCTGCTTCCACCCCAGGTCAGTGCACAGCAGCCCCAAGGCTGCACTTCTTGCCATACTTTGATGATACTGGTTTCTGCAACCATGCATCTGCTATTGAATTTCAAGATGTGTAAATAAATGTTCTGTTGGCTTTCAGCATATTGTCTTTAGGTGGATGGCCTTTGGTGTTTAGTACATGTGACTTATTCTACTTGCTGATATGTTTAACAAGGACAGTAAATTATTCAGGTCAAACATTATTCATGCTACCTGTGCTCACAAACCCTTACAAGACACATGGATTTCTGGCCTATAATGTATGCCACTGTTTACTTTGTTCATATTAATCTCACACATTTTCCTTGTAGAATTAAGTTTACTGCTAGAAAGGATCAAAAAGCAGTGATCAATTTCTATAAAAATCGAAACACTTGAACTACTACTAAAGAGAAGAAAGCAGCACTGGAAACCATGAGTTCAGACTTCAGTGAAAGACACTGTTCAACACAGATACACTGCCTCCTGTTGTGGCAAACTCTTCACTCTTCCTTGTGGGCATCTTCAACTTGTGCTTTTCTGTTATTTGTTGTTTTGCTTTTATTTGCCAATCTATTGGGTCTGCTTCTTTCTAATTGGCCTAATCTCTTCTGGAGACTCATAGCTCTTGATAAGATTCCTAAACCTTTCCTTACAAAGCTTCATTAGGAGAATTCCATATTGATTCATTTTGCTTTGCAAAAGCCCCTTCCTTTAGTCATCTTCATTTTATCTTTGTTATGAAGGTCAATTAAATTTACTTAAGAAAATAAATGAAATTAGTCATACATTTGTAAGTTAATGACCACAGCGGAGATTTTATTAGTTTTAATTTTTGAGTATCTTCCCAAGGTATAATTCATGTTTAAAAGAAATATGTAGAATTAATTTATGAACGTGTAGTGCATCCCATATCTGGCATACAAATAAATAGAGCCACCATCTCACTTGTCCCAAATGTAACCCATCTTACAGGCAGAGGCAGCACAATTAAATCATAACCTATCATTTATGAAGCAACTGGGCATCCTCATCTGATTTTGATAATGCCTGGTTACCATGACAGCCAGCGTTTCAGAGGTTTTCTCATTAGTAGTTGACCACAAATGATTCTCTTAATAGAGTTTCCTGTCTTCATACTCACTTACTAAAATTAAAAATGAGGTGAGATTCATCACTATTTACATTTGTACTTCCTTGGTAGAATAACAGCAAAATGCCGCACCATTATTTGTTTTGTTTCAGCTCATTAAGTAAAAGTAACGGAAGAGAGTACATTTTATGATAAGTGCACTTTAAGTGTGAAATACTGAATAGTGGATATTTTTTGTGCAATTAGACACAGAAGAAATGATTTATGGAAACTGTAAAACTTAGAAGGAACAATGGATGAACATGGACGAAATGACTTAAAGTCTGAAAGTTTGTGTTTCATTTTGCAACATATTATGTTTAATGTGTGCTTTCTTAGAGAAGATATTATATATTTCATGTGTATGCATATTTGTATGTCATGTGAGTAATGTATGTATGTGTGTATATAATGTGTGTAAACATAATTTTGGAAATTAATGTTCACACATTCTAAATTTTTATTGTTGTACTGATTTATAAGTTGACTAATGCATCTGGTTAAGAAAAAAAGTATTATTAAAATTAGCATTTTCCCTATTTAGATTGCATGAGGCTATTTCAAACATGTCACAGAAAATGGGAGGAAAATAATATGTAAGGTTAAATTTATACATAGGAGTTTTCAAATAGAGAAGATACAAATTATGAAAGAAACTTTGAATGAATATCAAATATTTTACCACCCAAATAAAATTATGTGTAAATTCCACTTTCTATGCAGATTTTACAGTACCATCTTGTATTTCATCTTAGTTTAAAATGGAAACACATATGACCTGTTGTGATGACTTAGAGGCTAAATCCTCCCCTTGCACACCTGGGATCCCATATGAACAGTGGTTCATGTCCAGATGCTCCACTTTCTATCCAGGTCCCTGCTTGTGGTCTGAGAGATAAGTAGAGGATGGCCCTAAGCCTTGGGAACCTGCACTCACATGGGAGATGTGGAGGAAGCTCCTAGATCTGGCTTTGAACTGGCTCAGCTCTGGCTATTATGGCCACTTTCTGGGTAGAGCAGCAGATGTGAGATCTTTTTCTCTATATCATCTTCTCTCTCTGTGGATCTGCATTTCCAATGAAAATACATATGTGATGTATTAATCTGTAGTTGAATATAGTTCATGCATAAGGTCACAGACTTCCCTGGAAGCCAGCTATGGCATCTGGTGGATATTTGTTCTCTTGGAAAAAGCCCAGGGTAAACACAATATGTACTTAAATTTGTGCACCTGCATTGTTTCTCTTTTAGGAAAAATAAATTCATATTTTTCTTATTTTTTAATCCTGGGCTTTCATACTTGAATGATTTGTATGCCTTCCAACTACATACATGACTAAATACTGTAGACCACTTGTCTTTCATACTTGCATGACATAACTCAGGTTTTGTTTAGGGGTAAACCTTACTTAATGTGAATATGATTACCTTGACTGGCACAAACTGGTCTCTACTGTCCTGTTTCTCTTATAAATGACAAGTAGTTGGAGATGGCCTAGGCGCAAGTGTTTGGGCCTCTATACTCATGTGGGACACTCTATTGAAAGTTGGCCATTCTTGCCCTCTGGGAACTTAACCAATGGGTGGAACACTTCTGTCTCTGTAGCTCTCTCTCTCTCTTCTTTTTAAACTGTTTATATAAAGGGAATAGGTTTAAAGCATACAGTTTTAAGAACCTAATGATACTTCTTAATCTTCTTAAGCCCTCCCTCATCTCTCTTTTCATTTTTAATGATGACATACTTTCAAATTACTTTATAATCACATTAATCCCCCACTAAATAAAGAATTCAACAAGAAGTAACTGGAGGAAAACTATTCCTCAGGAATACTAACAAAAGCTATTAAAGATAATCAAATATCAAGATGTCAATTTCATGCATACATTATGTCTTTTTTCTTATGTGTGCACTACAGTTATCAAAATTCGGAGACCAAATGGTATTTTTTTTTCCTGGAACTGGGTTGTTTCACCAAGCGCAGTTATCTCCTCTTGGCTCTACTGTGTTGTGATAAACAGGATTTAATTAATTTTTTATGTCTGGTAGTGTTGACTTTTGAATAAGCAAATTAATAATATCTTTGACAATTATATAGAACTTGGCATCTACGTCTCTTAAGACATGTATCTTTTGCATGTTATGCTGAATTTAATGTATTTGAATTGGCCAGCAGAACGTGTTTTGCAACAATCAGGAATCAAGATTTACCCAACAAGTGCCAAATCTGCATCCCATGGGTCACATGAGGAATAGGTGCTCACAGGGATTAGATAAAATGGAGAACATAAAATGTAGCAGATGAAAATGAATGTGTGGATATTGTTCATCTAGCCTATCACATGTCTGTAGAAGGCAAATAATAATTTTTAGCAAAGCTTTTTTCTCAGTAAAAGTGGCCACGTATCTTCTTTAATTATAATGAATATTTAAACCAGTGTCCTTTTAATATATTTGAAATTCAAAAATTTAAATGAATATTGGAAACTTACCCAAATCTTATACAGATGTTATGCAAACTGTGTGCAAACTATATGCAAACTGAAGGCAATTCAACTCTTTTACAAAAGTCCCCATGTCTATTTTCTTTTAAAATAGTATCGTGCACACAACTACTCATTGCCATGCGCTATTTACAATTTATTCTATTTATATCTATAATTTAAAGTTCCTTAATAGCACTTGTAGATCAAGACACTTTTTAGGGATGATGCTTGTAGACCCAGAGTTCCTTTGCTGCATAACTTGTTACATATTTGCCACTAGATGGTGATCATACATTGATAAGGCAAAGCAGCTTTTGGAATTACTTGGTGAATTGATGAACTGGTTGCTGAATGTGATTAATCAGTCACTGAAATGGGTGGCCAAATGGAGAAATGCAGGGAACATGCACTGATACTATATTTGCACTGCTAAAATAGCAAAATTAGCAATAACACAAAATAGGTACATAAATTTACCATATTGTAAAGGCAGAGATTGTATTCTAGAAGACTAATATGCAGTATCAGGTGGCCTATATTAGAATCTTAGGTTTATATTTGTTCATCTTACCAGTTTTCTCATCTTTGAAATAAGAACAGTGAAGATGCTTTGCAGGTTGATTGTGAAAGCTAAATGTTATAATATTTGAAAAACGCAAAAAATATATCTGGCTTGTATATGATCAATACACATTACTGTTTTTAATTCGTTGATGAAGGAACTTTGCGAACTTAGTGATAGCTCAAAGTTATCTACAAAGAACTCTTCTCTTCCTTTTTTTTTTTCCTGAAATATTTTTTTTAACTGCTTGCTCTTTATTCTATGGCCAGGCTGTGAATTTTCCAAAACTTCCTGCTCTTTCTTTTACTCCTGATTTTCACTTTAAAATTTTATAACAACAGCTACCATCACTCAAGAACATTACTTCCTTGGAATTCCATCCATCAAACCAGTACACCATCTTAAGTTCAACCCCTGCACAAAGTCTCAGATATTAATACAATAAGGACCAATTCTTTGTAACCTTTCAACAAGGGTGGCCTTTTGTCTAGTTCTCACTAGAGCTTCATTTCCACTTGAGACTTCATCTGTGTGGCCTTTGCCCATTTATATCAGTCCCTCAGCTCCTAAACCTATACAAGGATTACTCATATGAAGCAGTTCACAGTATTTCTATCTTTCTATATCCTACTCCAAATACTTTTTTTTTTGGTAAAACAATTCCAAAATCTACTTTACATCTTAAATATCATTAATTATAATGCCCCATTCCTGGCACTACTATTCTGTATTAGGTTTTTTTGTCACTATAATTAAATATATGAGACAAGCTACTTATGAAGAAAGGAATAAAGGAATTTGACCCTGGTTTTGACGGATCA